CCCCCCCCCGGTATCCGTTTGTGTACGTAAGCCGATGCATAGTCGGCCAACCTTCCTGGGCACTTTCAAGGATACACAAGCCTTTGAGAAGACCCCCAACTCCCGCAGGCTCCAGGGCGGAGCCCAGTCCCCGAGGCGGCCATCCCTGGACTACAACTCCCAGGCGCTTCATGCCCGCGGAGGTCGTGCCTTTCCCACGAGTCCGCGTGCGCTTCATCCGGGTATACGGTCTTCCGCCACGCTCCGGGACCCGCCCCCTTCCCACCGCGCGACGCCTTACCTGCTCCGCCCTGTCAGGAGTGGTGTTGAGAAGGTTATTGAGTTCAGGGAACATTCCGAGCTCTGAGGATGAGACTTCCCGGACCGGGAGCTGGGGCTGCGGCGGCGGGGAATACGAAGAGCTACACACCAGTCGAGCCCGCGCGAGGAAAGCGCGCACGCGCAACGCCGCTTCGAGGAGCCGTCGCAGCCAATCAGCCAAGCGCCTGGATCTGGGCTGCTGCCGGCGCACGCGCGAGGGCGGGCATCCGGCTGGGGTGGTGGATGGTACGGGTCTTGTGGCGCTTTTTCTGAGGGTGCTGGTGCTTTGCTCCTTCACTTGGCCTCGCTCTCTCCCCAACGCTGGGATTTGGGGCAATGCAGTTCGCCCCTCCACACGTGCCTGTCGAGCACCTGCTGTGTATCCCCCACTGCTCAAAGCTAGGGCTACATAGGGAACGAGATGAGTGAGGATGCCTGCCCTTTCTCGCAAACGCAATGAACACAGAATTGTACGTTGAAAAGTTCTTGGAAAAAAGCAAAAGCAGGATGAGGGAGTAATGGTGGGGTAGGGGTAGGTTTCGTAAAGAGGTTGTGAGGGTAGACTCCCTATGAAAATATGATTGGAACACACCCATGCTCTTGCCCGGGATTTTGCACCAACTGTTCCTCTTTACTGGAATGCTGTTTCTCTAGATGTTGAGACGATTAAAAAAAATCCTCCACTTACTTCAGGTCTCTTTGCTCAGATGTCACTATATTCGAGGCCTTCCCTGACCATCCTGTTTAAATTTGCAAACTATCCTTTCCCCCTGCTTTTATGTTGAACACAAAACATGAACATTGTCCAAGCCACAAGTTACTAGACATCCTCTCCCCAACCTGAGGACTATGGCTTCTTTACCAGTCCCAGGTTTAGCCTCACTCTAGTTGGCCTCCCTGTAGATGAAATCTATTAAGGTACTCAATTACAGAATTATCCCCACTTTCTGACAGCATCCTATCCCAAACCCTCCTCCCAATCATCTAACAAGCCCAAATCCTGTAATTATGTTCTATCACTCTTAATGATATACCCCACGATTTCCCATGATATGCATTCTCTTTCACAGCAATGAATAACAAACCCAACTTTTCAACAATAGATCAATTTCTGGTGGTTGTTGCCTGGAAGGAATTGACATGATTTCTAGCAGCCAAATTTCAACTTTAGAAAACAGTTTCTCAGTAAGAAAGCAGGAGTCACTCAGAGAAATAGGATACTATCAGACTAGCAGCTGCAGTATTTCTTGAGAGAAATACTGTTTCTGGTTACAGATGGTTTTATCTGTGTTGATGATGAACAGCTGGACAGGTTAATGTCCTTATTTGAATCTCCACACCAGATGGCAGAAGGGCTGGGATTTTTGTCTCTCATTTTAAGTCTCATTTCCTCAGTGCCTAAAAGATTGCCAGGCACATGGCAGGTGCTCATTTTGAAGTAATGGACGTATGTATTTTTCTGTAACCATGGGCTGTCTTTTTACTTTCTTGGTGGTTCCTTTGAAGCAAAAAAGTTTTTAGCTTAAAAAAAATTTTTTAATGTTTATTTGTATTAGAGAGAGAGAGAGAGAGACTGTGTGAGCAGGGAAAGGGCAGAGAAACACAGAGACAGAATCTGAAGCTGGCTCCAGGATCTGAGCTGTAAGCACAGAGCCCAACACAGGGCTCAAACTCACCAGCCATGAGATCATGACCTGAGTCCAAGTCCAACACTTAACCGACTGAGCCATCCAGGTGCCCCATTTTTAGCTTTGATAATATCTAATTTATCTTCTTTTTTTCTTTGTTTCCATGGGCTTTTGGTGTCATCTAAGAATCCATTGCAGAATCCAAGGTCATGAAAATTTACCCTTGTGTTGTCTTCTAAGTATTTTCTAGGTTTATCTCTCACACTTAGGTCATTAATCTGTTTTGAGTTCATTTTTGTACATCGTGTAAGGTAAGGATCCCTTTAGCTGGGGTTGTATAGGGACCGTGTTAAATCTGTAGATGGATTTGAAGAATATTGTCATCTTAACAATGTTAGGTTTTCAAATTCATGAACATTGGAAATTTTTATATCTACTTAGATCTTTAATTTCCTTCAACGATGATTTGTAGCTTTCAGAATATAAAGTTTGTACTTTTGTTAAATTTACTCCTTTTTTCTTTGTTACGCTATCGTGAATGGAATTTTTTCTTCATTTTTCATGTTGTTCATTGCAAATGTGTAAAAATACAATTGATTATGTATATTAGCTGGATCCTGCAACCTTGCTGATCTTGTTTCTTCTAGTTTTTTTAGGTGGGTTCTTTAGGATTTTCTATGTATAAGATCTTGTCATCTACAAATAGAGATAGTTTTACTTCTTCTTTTACAATCTGGATGCCTCTTATTTAATTTTTTTGCCTAAATGACCTAGCCAGAACCTCCAGTATGCTGTGGAATAGGAGAGGTGAGGTAAGACATCCTTGTTTTGTTACTGCTGTTAGTGCGAAAGCATCCAATCTTTCACTTCGGAGTATGATGTTAACTGTGGGTTTTTCATGGATTCCCTGAATCAGGTTGAGGAAATTCCCTTCTATTTCTAGCATATTTAGTCTTCTTATTCTTTATGATGTTTCTTTCCCCAGCCATGGGCATTCCCTCACATGCTGAGTACTTGAGGGTGACCCCCTGCAGGTCTCAAGGATCTTTCTCTGTGCAACTCTCTCTTTGCTGGTACTCTGTCCTATCTACGAACTCAGGCAGCCTTGGTCTCCCCAGGCTCTTAGCTTCAACTTTTCAACTCAGGGAGCATTACACTTTAGTTCATCCTCCCTGTCTGGAAATAAGACAGCTTGGACAATCACAGGGCTCACCTTGTTCTTTGCCCATTTCTGCAGAGTCACTGTCCTTTGTTGCCTGATGTCCAGTGTCTTTCAACTTGTTGTTGCATATATTTATATATGCCATCTTTTCTTTTTCTTTCTTCTTCCTCCCTTCTGGCCCTCCCTCTTCCTTCCTTCCTTCCTTCCTTCCTTCCTTCCTTCCTTCCTTCCTCCCTGTGTCAGCCTCAGTGTGGGTGACTGTGGGCTGTAGCAGTGGTGGGGAGTTTTAGGAGCAGTGGGGGTGCAGGTGCCTGGGTTCTGTCCAGCAGCAGCCAAGTCCACAGCAATGCTTCCAGTGACTCCATGGCTCCCATTGCTCCCCCTTTGTCTGTAGTCTTCTCACACTCTCTCTCCACCAGATATCCAGCTCTGTTTTGACCTACAGGCCTTCAGGTGTCCCATTTTCTTTCCGTGAATTGGGACTTGCCCCCCCCCCCCCCCCCCCATTCCCTTCCCTTCCCAGCATGATCCCATGACTGCCCTGGAACTCAGAGCCCTCTGGCAAGCACCCTCAGTGTTTTCACCTTGTTCTCCTCCTGAGAACAAGTGCCTGCTCTACAGCCTCCAGTCCTAGATACATTCTTCAGCCCCACTTCTCTGCTTCTAATCATCACTGGTAGAAAACATCACATGGCCCTGCCCCAGCCCCACTTCAAATACTGTTGCATCCACACCACAGTTTCCCTTTGCCTTCCTTTGTCTAAGTTGATGAAATGTTTCCACCAAGTGCTGCCTGATACCTCCGCAATGAGATCCATGACAAAAGAGTTCTTATAACTGCAAGTTGAAGGTGAACCCACAGGCCCCATAGACTGCTGGCAAAAGCAAAGCAAAGCGGGAAGTGGGTGTGGGTAATCTCTAGCACATCCACCAGAGGGCAGCAGATACTGCCTAAAGATGCAGGGTAAACAAGGCCTGGGTGATCCTGAAACTGTTGCATTCCAGAGCATTTCCAGGGTGCAGGCGCTGACTATCTTTAGCTCCCCTCTCCGGAAGCTCAGCAGTGGACTCTTCATGGGCTCTCCTGCTCCAGAATCGCCCTCCCTCGGTAATGTCCTTACTACCCTTACCCCTCCGCCTATCCATGGCGCCCTTCTTGCTCAGAGTAAAGGTGGGACTCTTCACGTGGCTTTGGAGCTGGCCCACTACTGCTCTGACTTCCTCTCCTGCTGCTCACTCACTTCAGCCTCGCGTTGCTCAGTGGCCTCAGTGGCAAGCACACCCGGGATATGTGCTTCTCTGTTTCCTGTCTGTAGGACTCTTCCTCTACATGTCTCAGCTTCTGCTTCCCTGATCTCCTTCAAGTCTGCTCCACGAGGCCTTCCCTGAGCTCGGTCCATGTGGTAGACACGAAGCTTGCACTAGCCAGACTCTTTCCAGAAAGATCTTCAGGAAGAGCCATCACCAGATAACCTGCAGTTCTCAGATCCTCCAGGGTCCACCTGAGTTGCACAGAGCCTGAAGACTGAGGTCACAGTCTTCCAGGTGATTCGCAGCATCTGGTGATTGAGTGAGGCAGGGGCTATGGCACCTTGACCTTTCCAGCCTAGATGGGACACTCTGACAGACCAAACTTGCTCCAGAACTCCCCACTGAGGCTTTGTTGCCCTTGTACCAACCAAGCTCTCCTCTCCTCCCCGATCAGGCTGCCTCCCCCATCTTTTCATTGGCTTACCCAGAGCCCCTCCTCACTAGGCTGGGTGGGGGCAGGGATTTTGTCTCTTTATTCATAGAATAAAGAAGAGTGCCTAGAAGAGTGCCTGCCTACAGCCGGTGCTACATAAATGTGATGGAGGAATGAATGGGACAAGGACCTGTGGTTTGTTTGCATAGCTGGAAGATGTGCTTTTGAGAAAGGTTGTAAAAGATGGAGGAGGAGCATTCTTAGCCTGGCTTCCCTAAAAGCTGAGCCGAGATGGCGTCACTTACAGGGAAGGGAAACCCGGAGCAGGGAGAGACAGAAGTGGGGGGACTGGGGCAGGGTTGTGTTGTCAAAGTGCAGGAGTCTGCTGGGAAAAGCATGCAGAGTGCACCTGCAGGACAGGTGACTGGAACCTTTTTCTATTGGTTTCCATCCCCACTGGTGGAGGGTCGCCCAGGAGTGCACACTGCCTGTACCCTCGAGCCCTCTGCAGAGCCTATTTGGGGTGAGGGGTGAACACACAGAGGGAGTCAAAGCTGACA